CTGTTCACCATTCACTGAATCAGGAGTCCAGGTCCTGTTGAGTGACAAGAAATGTGTCAAATTTTTATCTCTGCAGACACAAGACCTACAACTGTGCGGTTTTCAGGTGTCTGGAAGCACATGGTGGAAGGGAGCATGCAGCCCGCTCTTTCTTGCCCTGACATCCCAGCCAGAACCACAGTCCCCCATGTCCCCAGGGGTCTACCAGGGAGTGAGAACAAGATATTGCTCATGGTTTTGTGCATGTGTGAATAAACACTACAGCCCTGGGCTTTCAGTAGCATAGAAAAATGGTTCTATGGTGAATCCTCTGTCCAAGGAATTGGACCATAAGAAAAATAATGACATATCTTAAAATATGCAGGCCATCCTTTGTCTGTGGATTCCTCAGAGACTCCCCATGACATCAGTTAATTCTGAAGGGTATAAAAATCAAAAGACCCATGTGCAAATATCTCAAGGTAGATAAATACATCCTTTTCAGGAAATGTAACAACTTTATTTTCATATTAAAGAGAATGACTGGGGGATGCCCGGGGGGCTCAGTTCATTGAGTGTCTGACTCCAGAGCCCTGGTGCTTATCGGAGTCTGAGGAGTAGTACAGAAGACCCCGGGGAGGGCTCCCTGGCTGCTGCTGGATCCAGTAGATGTTAGAGCCACCAACACTGATATCCCTGCTCAGGGTGCAGGTGAGTCTGGCCGTTGTTCCCGGAGATGCAGAGAGGGAGGGCGGCTGGGTCAGCATGGGCTGGGACAGGGAGCCTGCAAACACACACACTCATAGGATATTGGATAGGTTCAATGCAAATTTTCTCTAGACTCTGAAGCAGAGGGGTGATGCTGGCTGTTCCCTGAGGCTTGTCCCTACCTGTGCAGTAAAAGAGCATCCCCAGGAAGACAGGAGTCCAGGCCATGGTGACACAGACCCAGGGTCCCCAGTGGGCTGGGCTGCCCTAGGCCTCCTTTTCTCCTCCAGCCTCTGCCACATGAGGGGCTCTATATGCAAATACAGTCCAGCCAGTGAGTCCCTGCCCCTCACTTTCCCTGATCCCTGGTGCTGAACTCAGTTCACATCACACACTGAGGAGGATGGAGGTTGGCTTCAGCCCTGCGGCCAGCCCTGGGAGGCAGCACCTGCTGAGACCACACACAGGTCCCCTCGGGACACTCTGCCAGACCAGAGGGGACACAGCTGCTGAGTCCCATCAGGGAGCACAGGACCCAGCCCTCCAGCCCCAACTTTTTGAATGCTTCTCACTAAAGAGCTGCTTTTTTGGTACAAGGCAGTCCCACAGCGCCACCTGCTGGTCCAGGGCACACATGTCACCACGGTCCAAAGCCCTGAGAGTCCAGCTGGGGTCTGCATCTCACTGGGTCTGATTTCTAGATACGATGGTCCTTCAGGCCTGCTGATGATATTGTTGAGTCTCACTCTCAGAAACAGTCCTGGTCTATGGGATTGTAAACACATACATATATTATGTGATATTTAATTAAAGGAACATCTCTTTTGCATGGAGGTCAGAGACCAGTAGGGGGAGCGCTCGAGCCCCCCACTCCTCAATTGCAGACCAGGCAGGAGGACAGACTTTGCAAGTCCACAGGCCTATAGCTAGTCCCTTCCTACCTCAGGAAGAGGAAGACTTCTTCCTGCCCTGGCAACAGCCCAGCCAATGAGAAATTGTCACAACGGAACCATTGACAAGCCCTGTAATTAGAATTTCCTTTTACTCCCATGGACTTTTTGTCCCTCCCACACTCACCCTTTGCTCATAAAAGAGCTTCCTTATCCTTTGTTCCCTGCACTTGCCTGTGGTTTCGCCATACCTTACCTGTCCTGGATTCCAAGTTTTTGCTTTTCTTCAATAAACCCATTATCACTGGAGAAAATAAATGGCACATTTTTATTTAACGTACAGAAAACAACTGAAGTGGCCAGTTACCCCGCAGGAGATTCTAGAAAAAGCTGAAGGACCCGTATGTGCAACACCTGATGTCACACACCAGGGAACAGTGGATCTGGTTTTGTTTGTTTGCCTGTTTGAATGTCCTGCAACGGTTCTTCAGGGGATCAGTATAAAATGGACATATTCTAGGATATAAAAATGCTCAGTGATATGTTCAAAAGAGTACAGTTTGGTAAAATTCACTAGATATGTAATTGTCATAACATCTGTAGATTCAGTTGATTTGGTAATATAGGAAAATTAATAAATTTTATACACAACACTAGTGAATAACATGAGATTTTTCTCAAAAATTTAGGTATATCTAAATAAAGTGGGTGTTTTGTGCATATCTGTGTCATATATTTCTTCTTGGGATGTTCCCACAGGCTTTAGCAATTGCAGTTAAGCAAATAATATAATAACATCATCAATATGATCAACTTAAATATGATAAAATAATAAAATAAAATAAGATCATTTTCCCACCGTAAATTCCTGTTGATTATGTCCTGCTTCCTAGCAAGATCAGTATTTTAAAGCCCTACTGCAGATATTTTGACTGCCTCTTTAGACAAGAGTAGAAACTCACATTTGCTCAAACTCCCCTTCATATCCACTTGTATCAACTCAGCAAATGTCCCCAGACTTGTTGCTGGATCTTTTGGAAATGATCCAGGATCTTCAG